GCATCAGATGGCGGAGAGATGCATCGACCCGGCCAACTCCGCAAATTCTGTAAACATCCTAATGAACTTGTAGATGTATGGACAAAGTTGGGCCAGGCAAATGCCATAGTAGCGGCAAAATTCCTCCGCCAATGGAAGAAGAGGAAAGGTATAGCCGACATAGAAAGGATATGCATAGAACACGCAATACCCGGGGCGGTGTATTTGTACCACATCACGCCCTGCTGGGACCAGATCGATGTGGGCAGGAATGTCGAATTTTACCTTAAGCTCAGCGAGATTGACCACTTTCATCGCTGACTCCGAGTCCTCAGGCTTGCCTTTAGGCGCCTTCGAAAAGTCTGACCTAACTTTTTCACTACGAGGGATTATTTCCTCCACCGTAGGAAAATTCTCATCTTCAATGGCGACAGTGACACTATCAGCATGAGGGGGTATACGCACCGCCAAAGGGATAGCATTAGTTACCATACCGGAACCAGAGGGTACATTAACCATATTTTTAAGAGAGGATATTTTGAGTACAGAAGGATTGAAAGCAACTGGAATCACCAGAATCAAGGGAGTAGACACACAATAATGAAGTAAAGAGAAGAAGACACAAGGATTCGATATGAAGAATATACAAAACATGAATGACCTCATATCCCTATTTATAAGAGCTCAAGCGTCAGAACCAAGAATTCAGGCCATCACTACCCATCGCAGGTATCGAAATGGTAGAGGCACAGGAAACCATGCAAAACATCGGGAAAACACGCCATAATGACGCATGATGTCCTGACGTCATCCTGAAGCGGAAACGATGTGATCCCGAAAGTTGCGGCTCACGAAAGGTCACGTCGTCTTCTTGTCTAAAACAACGCTGCTTGACTCACTCATCCAATTTTGCCGACCACAATAAATATAATTCGCTCATCAAGGCCGTCTGGGGTCGGCCTTAATAAGCGGAGGGACTAACTGTATAGGTCGAAAGCTGTCTCAATACTTAGTGCAAAGTAACATCACGGAAGGAATCAGCCGATGTCAATCAAGAGATAGCGAGGCTCGTGGTTAGGGTGCAAACAATGGTCGATGTTGAGCACCGCAAAAAGAGCGGTAACGGCTAGTTTATTAGAATAGGATATTGAAGAGGATATTCCAATGGATATTTCCTGCATTTGTACTATTAGGGTTTATTGGGGGTATGTCCCATATTAATAGAAAAAAGGTCAATGAATGAGGGCATGTAATATTCACTTGATAAGAACACTTTTCAGAAGAAGATTCTCCCTCTCTAGCAAAGATACAAACTTTACCTTTTCATCACTATTCTCACTCGCATTATTCCATGCTTGTCCATCAGATCCAAGAATAGTCCGAACATTCTAGGATTTATCTGTCACTCATTATTGTTGGGAGGAACAATCATCTAGTTCGTTCATTGTTGGGTGAAGCACTCCTGCTATTTACTTAAAGGTCATTTATTGTTATTTATTGTTAATTACTCCTCCATTATTGCCCATACCTTTTCGAATATTAAATGTATGTTACTGTCAATCTCCCACTAACTCAGTCCCACATTATCCGTGCTTTCAAAATTTATATCTAGAGATATTATCATTAACTAGGTTTAACCCTTCATTACATAAATATAATAGTTTAACAAAAGTCAATATTTTTTGGTCAAACAACAATAAAGTCACAAAATTACTTCTTTTCACATTAAAGTAACTAAACCGTATGTGAATTGTTTAGAAATACAAATAGGCAGAAGGTCAAATATCCAAAAAAGTAAAAACAGATCTTTTGACTATATTTTAAAAATAACTGATAATTGAAAATGTTTAAATGAAACAAAGAAAGGAAGAAAAAATGATTCCTCCAAGCCGAAAATTTTGACGTTCTGGTCATTTATCTTTTCTTAGTAATTCACACATAATTTAATTATTTTAATGCGACAAAACATAATTAGTCACAATTATAAATGTTCAGTGGTCATACATGAAATTAGTCTTATATTTAAGGTAAATATTAAATTTATTATATGTGACTGCAAATATATTTCAAATTGAAAGTAATTGGTGCAAACGCACCGACTGGCAATGCTGTAGATTCACCACATATTACAAGTGTCCTAATTACAACCATACAAGTTTTATCACATACAAGGAGTACCTAAGTACAATTAATCAATCGGTCGTTTCTGGGGAAATTCCCTAAATTAAACACTATTCTGTCTAGTAATCGACGAGTGGCCTCGTTAATATTGACATTTAATAAAGTTTAGTAGAAAAATGGATTTTTTTCCTGTAGCTGTCCCCAGGCCTTGAATACGGGTGTTCATAAAAACCCGAAAAACCGAACCAAACCGAAAACCAAACCAAACCGACCAAAAAAACCGATACTTTTTTGTTTGGTTTGGTTTTGGTTTTGAATTTTAAAAACCGATCAAATTTGGTTTGGTTTTAGTTTTAATCAAAAACTAACCGAAAAAAACCGAACCAAACCGATTATAGGAGTAGCTATTTCAAATTTATTATTACACCTATAGATATGTATATTGTTATACAAAGTTTCAAAAAATTTTGTGGTGAAGGTTAATCGTTTGCATTTTAATACAGTTCCTTTACCTTTATATTTCTAATTTGATTGGTAGGTTTTCTTGTTAAGTGTAAGATTCATTTCATGTTAAAAAAAATATATTTTTAATTGAGTCCTTAAATTATTCATCACTATTTGATTCAATTATCATCAATATATTTTAGTAAATAATAGACTTCTCAAAGGGCAATTGATTTGATAGTGTTACATTTGAAATGTGGTCGCCGAATATGTGTTTGTAGTGTATGTCTTATATTTAAGAAAAACCGACAAATACCGAAAAAAACCAAAAAAACCGACAAAACCCGACATAAACCGAATCGAAGAAAAAACCGACTTAATTGGTTTGGTTTGAGTCTAATATTTGAAAAACCGACTTACTTGATTGGTTTTCTTTTAGGGAAAAACCGATCCAAACCGAACATGACCCCCTAGCCTTGAATATTAAAGCTACTTTAATATAGAATCTGTCGTATGAGTGCTATATCAACGGTGAAGATTTTCAGTTCGCTTGACTGTAATATAGTTCAAATGGATGCCATAGCATTTTGCCCTCCCTATTTTACATGCGCCTTATTTAAATGATCTTCTACGGCAGCAAGCGGATCCAAATTTTAAGTTTATATGTTCTTACATTAAATTTAAGTTAATATACAATAATAACTGGATTAAACGGAGTGAGTTCTAAACTAAATATTTCTTATATATTTAATGGAAATTTTCAATACAAATATACCAGATTCTGAACAAAAATTACTGGATTCACGAACGTATCTAACACACTGGATCCGCCGCTGCTTCTAGTGTTTAATTTCTATGTTAAGTTAAAACTGTATTATAGTACAGAAATTTTATTATTCAATTAATGCATATAAGTTAATTTCTTTTCTAAGCACGGCTGCTGGCTCTAACGTTATTAGTACAAGCCCCCAAATTTTTGGGGGGGGAGGGGGGTTGGCATTTTTTAAACATAATAGGTTTATAAATATATATATATATATATCAAAATAGAGTTTTTCATATAAAAGTAAAGAAAACTTTTTAGATATATAAATATAGTAATAATTTGAATTACTTAAAAATGAGAATTTTTCCAACATTTCAATTTGGGTTGATTTGAGAATTCCACTTTTTCCTCTGTCGTCAGATCACGTATAAATTTTTTAATTCCTCTTTCCTTTTTTTTTTTTTTTCTAATTTGTCCTAGTCAATCTTTTTTTCCCCCACAATTAGGGTGTTTGCGGTTTGACGGAAAACCGATTCAAACCGCAAACCGAACCAAACCGATTAAGTAAACCGATATTTTTTTTTTGATTTGGATTGGTTTTGGTTTTAAATTTTAAAAACCGATAATATTTGGTTTGGTTTTGGTTCTATTTTAAAAAATCGAAAAATAAACCGAACCAAATCGATTAATTATATACAAAATTTAATAATTATTTATATACAATATAATATCTTTTTGTTAATAATTTTAATTGTTATTTTGAATTTTGGTTTATCCTGTTATATCTTAAAATATTGCCTAAGCCCAAACTAATAGGATTCGACCAATTTTCTTTTCATTAATAGACTCTAATTCTCTAACCCTCCGCACATACTTTTGCTTAAAAGAAGAGTTAAAAAAAAATCACCACAAGAGTAAAGAAAGCACATTCAAATTGCAAGACAACAATGGCTAAAGCTTGAGAAAGCAAACTTTTAGTTTGTTTTTTGTTCATTCTTTTCATATAAACATGTAAATAAACTTTCAGTTCTCAAAGAAATATATAAAAAGCATAAATTTAGCCAATTATATTCAGATTGTTGTCTAGTGTTGTTTTAATATTATCGACTTATCATTAGCTTACTAAGAACCGAAAAACCGAACCAAACCAACAACAATCAAACCGATGGTTTGTATTTAATTTGGTTTGGTTTTGGTTTTAAAATTTTAAAAACCGATTAAATTGGTTTGGTTTTGGTTTTAATCAAAAACCGACCAAACCGAACCGTGAACACCCCTACCCACAATCTCTTCATATTTCGAAAATCCCTAAATATTCTTTGTCTTTTTCTTTGGTATGTTACTCACTTTCTTTCTCCAATATTTCATTACTCACCTTATTTCTCCAAGATTTCGTTAGCTCAAGTGTTCAACAATACTTTTAAACTTGCAATAATTCCATACTTTGTTGCTTCATAAAATCTTACCTAGGATCAACATTTCAAAAAGATTAAATGAGTTGGTTATATTATCAATTGATAAGGAATTTTAGAGGAAATCGATTATAACAAAATTATTAACAATTTTGTATCATAAAAAAGTAAATGAATAGACTTCAAATAAAAATATATATTGTAATTTTTCTTTTAAAAATTTAAGCCTCGTATTAAATTTAAATTTAGGCCTCCAAGTGCTTGAGCCGCCCCCTGTTTCTAAGAAGCATTAATTGCGAGCTAATCGTGCCGATGTTTGCTCCATTTTGCTGAGGCTGTTATATAAACTAGTGAAGTGTAAGTCTTTCAGAACATCTAGCAAATCACGAAGTTGCAAACTTGTGAAATGGCTACTCCTTACCAACCTCTGTTACCAGAGACACCAAAACAAAATCCCATAATCAGCTGCAAGATCCTCACTTTTGTCATTACGTTCGTTGTTGCTCTCTTCTCAGTTGTTTTTCTTGTTGCTCCTTATCAATTTGAGGTTAAGCAGTCTAATCTATTATCTTTACAACTATGTGAGGCTGCACAAGATTCACAACTCTGCCTCAGTTATGTCTCTGAATTAGTATCCAATGGAATTGTTACATCCGATTCAGATGGAGTTGCTGTTCTGCAAAAATTCCTAGTAAAATATGTCCATCACATGAACAGTGCAATTCCAGTGGTTCACAAGATCAGAAACCAGATCAATGACATTAGTCAACAGGGGGCTTTAACTGACTGTCTAGAGCTCCTTGACCTGTCAAATGATTTAATGACAGACTCAATTGCAGCACTTGGTAAAACAAGAAGCCGTTTGGCACATGCCAATGCACAAATCTGGCTTAGTGGGATGCTTACTAACCACGTCACCTGTTTAGATGGACTTAATTCCCTAAGTAACACAACTTCAATTGGACCAATTCTTGAAGAGTTAATCTCAAGAGCCAAAACTGCTTTGGCAATTCTTGCTTCTGTTACAACTCCAAATGAGGAAGTTTTCAGGCCGCTTTCAGGGAGAATGCCATCATGGGTAAATTCCAGGGACAGGAAGCTATTGGAGAGTTCAGCCAAGGACATTAAAGCTAATGCAGTGGTAGCACAAGATGGATCAGGGGATTATCAAACACTTACTGAAGCAGTTGCTGCAGCACCAGATAAGAGCAAGACTCGGTACGTGATCTATGTCAAAAAGGGAACCTACAAAGAGAATGTGGAGGTGACTAAGAAGAAAATGAACTTGATGATTGTTGGTGATGGCATGAATTCTACCATTATCACTGGTAGCCTTAATGTTGTGGATGGATCAACCACCTTCCGCTCTGCCACTCTTGGTAAGTCTTCAGTTTATCATACTACTTATTCCTTTTTTCTTATTGGTTGATGGTCTGCTAAGACTTGGGGATTAAATTTTTTTTTTTTTTTTTTTTGCTTCCTAGTATTAATTTGCATTAAATGAGTAGTTGATTATTGGCTATACTGTCTCTCTCTCCAGCCCATCCTTGCTTAACTAGCCACCAGATCAATTATGAGTTGCATTAATATATCATGGCGCTTTCGCACTTGAATAAGATCCATCTATATGTATAATGGTCCCCCTACCCTATTATTTTATTCCTTCGGCAGTTAAAATTTGTTCCTAATGGTGTTTTTTGCATTCATCTCTTGGTCAAGGAACACGTGTTATAAAGTCATAGCGGAGCTAGCGCGGAACCGAACACAATAGTTTTTGCTTAAACAGTGTATTTGTATTAAAAAATTTATTAGTTATTACTATTAGCACTAGAAGTCATTCTAAAATCTAGAACCCATAAAGTTGATCTATGCTCCGCCTTTGATACTTGTGCATTTCATCCTATTGCAGCTGCAGTTGGCCAAGGATTTATACTACAAGACATCTGTATACAAAATACAGCAGGACCAGAGAAACACCAAGCAGTGGCACTTCGAGTGGGAGCTGATATGTCTGTCATAAATCGTTGCCGTATTGATGCTTATCAAGATACCCTTTACGCACATTCTCTAAGGCAATTCTATAGAGACTGCTACGTAACAGGTACTTCCGAGGCAGATTTAGCCTATGTGCTATGATCAGCTCAATTGAACTCAATATTTTTGACATATAACATATAGACAATCCGCGTTAAGAACTTTTGTGGAATCATCAAGTTTAAATTTGAATTTGTCGCTGCAGGTACTGTCGACTTCATATTTGGTAATGCAGCCGTTGTAATCCAGAAATGCCAACTAGTACCTAGAAAACCCGGTAAAAACCAGAAAAACATGGTGACTGCACAAGGCCGTACAGATCCAAATCAGGCCACGGGAACTTCCATTCAATTCTGTGACATAATAGCAAGTCCAGACCTTGAACCAGTCAAGAGTGAATACAAAACATATCTTGGTAGGCCATGGAAGGAATATTCAAGAACTGTAGTCATGGAATCTTACCTAGGTGATCTCATAGATCCAGCTGGTTGGTCTGAGTGGAGTGGAGATTTTGCCTTGAAGACATTATACTATGGGGAGTACATGAACAATGGACCTGGTGCAGGTCATATGTTTATCTAAATCCAATATATATATATATATAACTATTAAATTTTAATAATTGTTAAATCCGGACCCGAATTTACAATTAGTTTAATGTTAAGTAACTTAAAGGTTTAATTCATCAAGTCTAAATTATAGATCCGTCTTTGGTGCAGGTACTAGCAAGAGGGTGAAGTGGCCGGGTTATCATGTCATAACTGATGCTGCTGAGGCTAGGCCGTTTACGGTGGCTGAGCTGATTCAAGGCGGCTCGTGGTTGAGTTCAACTGGCGTGACTTTTGTTGAAGGATTGGATGAGTAGGGAGTTATTATTTGGCTTTAATTAGAGTGTCGTATACGTCTTTATTTTAACCTACGTTGAGAACTAGGTATATATATTATCCGAACAAGCTTTGTATCTGTGATGAACTCAAAATAAGTACTCCACTATATTTATTGTCCCATAAGATATGTCGTAATAGTATTTGGTAGTGCCAGATGCATGCTGCAGCAAGCCAACCAAACAAACATCTTATGGGGAGGACGTTTATCTCGGATAGATTTGAAGTTTCTATATGAATTCAATAAAGCCTTTAGTTTGAACTTTTATCTTAGACATAGTTTATGGAAATAACCTTTTTTGTTATCCGATGTTACATTGACTTAAATGACTCAAATTTGGAGTTAACTTTTAAACTGGTAACTCAGAAGACTTGCATCTGTTAAGCATATAACCTTCAACCGACTTTCAATAGAAAGATATAGTTTATAAACAAGTTGATGAAATTATGGAATAAAGTGGTATATCTATTTTCTTATCACAATAAGATCAGCTAAATAAATTCTAGCCTCAAAAATAACGAAAGCTGAAAAATGCACTTTCGAATAAATGAGTAATCACTACTAGAAATTCGGGTTTTAGCGACCACAAAAAGCGATCAACGTTGGTCTGTTTATGCAAAATACCGACCAAAATCCGCCCAAACAGGCTTGGTCGCTATTTTAGTGGTCGCTTTTGTATACCGATCAAAGTTGGTCGCTAATTACCGACCAAAGTTGGTTGCAAAGGTAAAAGCACCAACTGTGTAATTTAAAGCACATACCGACCAACTTTGGTCTGTAACATATTTTAATAATTTAATTTTACCGACCAAAGTTGGTCGGTGTATGTAAATTACGTTATATTATTAATTATTAAAATTTAAAGATTAGCGACCAAAGTTGGTCGTTAAATTAAAATATATTTTTTTTAAAAAATTAAAATTTAAAAATTAGCGACCAAAGTTGGTCGGTAAATGTAAAATCTGGGTAATCCTTGTTCATTAACCGACCAACTTTGGTCGGTAATTATTAATTTTTTTTTAATATTAAGCGACCAACTTTGGTCGTTAATCAGAAGATTTTTTTTTTTAAAATTAAATACCGACCAACTTTGATCTGTTTTCTAGGTTTTAATTTTGGCATAAAATGCCTGTTTTGGCAGCTACACCACCTGCCAACATACCAAAATTCCTAAACAGGCATTTTATGCCAACAACAACAACAACAACAACAACAATAAATAACAACAAATAACAACAACAACAACAACACCAACAACACCAACAACAATAAACAACAACAACAACAACAACAACAACAACACAATTCAATAAATACATTAAAACTGACAAATTAAAGTTCAATAGAACTAAAAAATCCAAAATCAAGTTAATACTTATTACAACTAGTTCAGAACCGGTTCTATTTGTCTAGTTCAAAGTATATACAAGTTAAAGAGTGTTTTGTACAACATCATCATCACCGTCTGATGAACTTTCATCTAAAAGACGGTATCGAGAAGGGTCTTGTGGAAGACGTGAAGAACGACCACGGGGAGGACGGGAGGAATGATCACGGGGAGGACGGAAGGAACGCTCACGTTTAAGTCGAGCCTCTGGCGATGACTCACGAGACCGGGGCAACGGAAAAGCTCCAGTAGATAGGAGAGTTCTGATCTGAGCTTGCATGCCAAGGAATTGAGCATCTCTAACCCTTTCTCTTTCCTTGGCCGCTTCTAGCTCAGATGTGAGCTTTGTCACAGTTTCCCGCATAGCGGAGAGGCTCTCCTTCACGACCCCAACCCCGGTCGTGATGGCGCCCAACACACTGCTAGGCAAGCCCGACCAATTAAATAACCTTAACCATTTTACCCAGTTCATGAATTAATTAACACAGATAATTACTGAGTCAAAATACTAAAATCCGGGAATAGAGTTAAACATGCGGAAATCCCAAAATATAAAATAACTACACAGCCCGAAGAATCCGGTGTCACAAGTCTGAGCCTCTAATACATGAGTATCAACCTACTACATATCGTTCTCTAGAAATGCGGAAATAAAATAAACAGGATAGAAGGAAGATCAGGACTGCGAACGTCAGATGCAGCTACCTTGAAACTCCCAGATGTGATGCTAGGCAGAGAAGTCCTCACTCAGCCTCAGTAGTACCTGGATCTGCACGCAAGGTGCAGGGAGTAATGTGAGTACTCCGACCCAGTGAGTAATAAACATAAATAAAGGTTGAGAATAAGAAATCCTGAATAGGCATAAAGTAATTCTATAAATACAACAACTTGAATCCAGTAGCATAAAATCAATAAATCAGTGAAAACAATTATAGAAATATCATAACAGATAAATAAGTAAATGACAATCAAAATATGCAATGCAACACATAGACCGGTACTCTCTAGTACCCGCTGCGGCGTGCAGCCCGCTCCATTTATTTATCGTCGACGGCGCTCACTCGGGGTGTGCAGACTCCGGGAGGGGCCCCTTACGGCCCAAGCGCAATAATAAACCATATCGTGGCATCAACTAGGCCCTCAGCCTCATATCAATATCAATTTCATACCGCTGCGGCGCGCAGCCCAATCCCATACTCAGTCCAAAATCACATAAGCCTCTCGGGCACATTAATATAGAAATATTTAGCCTAAACTTTATTTAAAAATATTAATTAAGTTTCTAGTTTGAGAAAAGCGGCTGAGTTTGCAAAACAGTATTAAATACTAGGACTGAGTTCAATATCTGTAAATATGGTAAGAAACCAGTAAAAACAATCCCTGAAGGATTCAAGTAGTTAGCACGAAGCCCAATTATGATAATTAATCCATTTTTATAAGGATATCTACTAAGCTTCAATTAATTAGGTAGTAATTTTATTAAGCGGGACGGACCAAGTCACGATTCCCGACGGTGCTCTACCCCACATCCGTTATCCGGCGTGCAAGTCACCTTAGCATAGCATTACAATGTGCAAATTCGGGGTTTCAAACCCTCAGAGCAGCATTTACATCTATTACTCACCTCAAGCCTGCCAAAATCCTAGTTCGCTATGCCCTTGCCACTCGAATCGACCTCCTCGTGCGCCGAATATGATCAAAACCACAACAAATACGTCACAATATGCCAATGGAACAATACCCAAGCGAAAATAATCGAAAAATAGCTGAAATCTCGAAATTAGCAAAACCCGAGCCCCGGGACCACTTCTCGAAAATCAGAAAATTTAACATCAACGGATTCCTTATCTCGCCACGAGTCTATACATATAAAGATTACCAAAATTGGAGTCTAAATGTCCCCTCAAATCTCCATTTTAGCTCTCTTAAGTTTCAAGCCCTAACCTCCATTCTTAACCCTTGATTCCTTAATTTTTCAGTCTAAATTCATGTATTTGCACCATAACATCGTGTTTTAGACTCAGAAATCCTTACCTCAAAGAAGTCCCTTGATTTGTCTCTTCCAACTCGCCCAAATTCTCCAAGTCCGAAGTGAAAATTATGAAACCCTTCAAAAATTCGCAAAGATGAAATTAAATACCTCTGCCCAGGCCTTTCCGCATCTGCGGCTCCCAGATCGCATATGCGACACCGCTTCTGCGGTTACCCCCTCCGCTTCTGCGGAAAAATCATTTAAGGCCCAGGCCGCATCTACGGTCCACCAGTCGCATCTGCGACTCCGCAGATGCGGTCCCCACTCCGCTTCTGCGGTCCTTGACGAGTTCTCACAAAACCGCACCTGCGACCCTCTCTCTCGCACCTGCGGAACCGCTTCTGCGGTCCCATTTCTGCAGAAGCGGAAATACCAGAAGCAGCAGTGAATTTAGAATCTTTTAAGTCCAAACTTCCCGTTAGCCACCCGAAAACACCCCGAGGCCCCCAGGACCTCAACCAAAGCACCAACACCTCCTATAACATCATTCGAACTTGTTCCAATCATAAAAACACCTCAAACAACACTAAAACCATCATTTCTCATCGAATTC